CAGGGAAAGTTCCCTCGTTGGCACATATCAAGGTTTGGGGTTGCGAGGCTTTCGTAAGAAGAGAGACTCACAACAAGCTCGAACCTCGTAGTGAGTGGTGTATTTTCATCGGCTATCCGCAGAAGTCCTTTGGATATCTCTTCTATAGACTGAGTGACAATGTTGTCTTCGTTCTGATGAGAGGGGTTTTTTGAGAGTAAGAACTCATATGCCAAGAGGACAGTGGGAGGCAAATTGACCTTGAAGAGTTTCAAGAGTCAAGCGATGAAGGAACCTCTAACACTGGCACTCAACCCGAGGAGGAAACTCCTGTTGAACTGATTGACGACTCCCTACCTCTTGGACGTTCCAGTAGAGTTAGTGTTCCACCTGTGTTGTATGGTTTCCATATAACAACTGAAGGTGATACGTTTATTAGTGATAGTACGCTAATAAATTTGGATGAACCTAACAACCACAAGGAAGCCATGGCAGGCCAGGAGTCTGCAAAATAGAAAGAGGCTATGGACAACGAGATTCAGTCCATGTATGACAATCAAGTTTGGAACTTGGTTGACAATGTGCCAGGTCGTAAGACGGTCGGCTGCAAATGGATGTTCAAGAAGAAGACCGACATGGATGGGAAAGTACACACGTATAAGGCGCGGCTGGTTGCAAAGGGATTTACTCAAACTCCCGGAGTTGACTATGATGGGACCTTCTCACCAGTAGTGAAGATTAAATCTATAAGGGTCATGCTAGCCATAGCTGCATTTCATGATTATGAAATATGACAGATGGATGTCAAAACCACTTTCCTTATTGGGAAGTTAGCTGAAGATGTTTACATGAGTCAGCCAGAGGGTTTTGTCGATGCGAAGCATCCTAATAGAGTGTGTAAGCTTGAGAAATCCATCTATGGATTGAGATAAGCATCTCGCAGATGGAATCTTTGTTTCAATGAGAAAGTCAAAGAGTTTGGTTTCTCAAGAAGCGAGGATGAGTCCTGTGTATATGTCAAAGCCAGTGGGAGTATATTTAGCTTTCTCGTTTCGTATGTGGACGACATACTGCTCATAGGAAACGACGTCCCAACCTTGCAGGAGGTTAAGTCCTGGCTTGGAAAGTGCTTCGCTATGAAGGACCTCGGAGAAGCTGCTTATATTCTAGGGATAAGGATAATGAGAAATAGGACTAAGAGACTAATAGGACTTAGTCAAAGTACTTACTTGGATAAAGTGTTAAAACGTTATAGCATGGAAAATTCCAAGAAAAGGGAGTTACCAATCCAAAGTAATACCAAGTTAAGTAAGACTCAAAGCTCGAGTACCGATGCCGAGATAGCAGAGATGAGCAGAGTACCTTATGCTTCCGCAGTTGGCTCAATCATGTATGCTATGACATGTACTCGCCCTGATGTGGCCTTCGCTTTGAGCATGGTCAGCATATATCAAGGGAACCCTGGTAGAGCACATTGGACCGCAGTAAAGAACATTCCTAAGTACCTGCGGAGGACTAAGGACTGGTTTCCTATCCTCGGTGGGAGTGATGACTTGAGAGTGCGAGGGTATAGTGACCCCATTTTTCAGACCGACCGGGATAATTTCCGCTCTCAGTCGGGCTGGGTCTTTACCCTAAATGGAGGAGCAGTGACATGGAAAATTTCCAAGCAGGAGACTGTAGCTGATTCACCGTCCAAATCAGAGTACATAGCAGCGAGCGAAGCGTCGAAGGAGGCAATATGGCTAAAAAACTTCATCGGAGACTTTGGAGTTGTACCTGCCATAAAGGAGCCTATAGATATTTTCTGCGATAACGAAGTTGCGGTTGCCTTGACCACGGAACCGAGGGATCATGGCAGATCCAGGCACATCGACAAAAAATATCATTTCATTAGAAATCGTGTAGAGGAGGGACTCCTCGTAGTGAAGAGGGTATCGTTAGAGGATAACCCAGCAGATTCCCTTACGAAGGGACTGGGTAGGGTTAAGCACATGCAACACGCTAGGAGCATTGGATTGAAGGACGATATTAGTTTTAGTGATTAGGTAGCCTTAGAAACTTGTAATAGATAAATTGAAATTAACATTTGATGATTAAATAGAAGAGTATTATTTATAAGTAATGTTACTGTCTTATGTTAATTATTTACTATTGTTTCACTTTGTATGTTTTGACTTCCTAAATAATAAGATTATTTGAACTATCCACAGTCGATCATATGTTGGAAGTAAGTATGAAAGAAGACTGTCATGAATTGGCATGTAGATTGTCTAAGCGTTTAAACATAGCAAAAGTTTGTTGCAACGTTCATGAGTGCTTATGAAATGTGATTTGAGTATTGGATCAAACCCGCACTCACATGAATCACTTCATGGAACTAATCACGAGTGATTGTGAGATGATAATATCATATAAGTCTTTAAACCTAGATATATTAGTTGTTGTTTACGAGTCGGCTGTGCATTGATAATGCGTAAACACATCAGTAACTTGATGTTATAAAACACATTGTTGTGTACGATTTGATGAGTAAATAGTACAAGCATATAAGTCGAAGTTTATCTGTTCCTTTTATCCTACGAGGTTAAAAGCGATATCTGGGCCCCTCGATGATTTTGTTTTGACTTATGTGTCGGGCCCGGTCAGGACTAAGTTGATGTGTTCAATTAAGTTCTATGTTAGACAAATTAGAGATCGAGAAACCAACTGCTGGACAATAAGTATGACTATGTTCCATGTATTTCTCCACACGATATCTTGAGAACGGAGGACTATACGATCCCTTATCTGAAGGACGTGTCAGGGTTCGACAACAGCTTTTGAGAGCTACGATTACTAATCGGATTTTGAAGTCTTACTTGCATCTATAGTTATTAGACTTATCCAAATGGGAGACTATTGGATTAGGTGTCTAAGCTCATAACTATATTTGGTATGTACTTGACCCGGTTGTAGCATGGTCCTTTTGGGGTGCCTTCACCAGAGAAACTTGACTGGATGAATAATAGAGAAAGAGGTTATTATGGTTTATTAATATATTATATGAATAATATATTAAAGGAGAAATCATATTAATTAATTAACATTGGTCAAGAATTAATTTAGAATTAATTTTGTGGTCAAAAGAGGTTATTTAAATAAAAGGGACTGATATTGTAATTATTGGATAATTGCAAAGTGGGCTGAGGAAACCCTAAAGATAGGGAGTGGACGAAATCCTTATGGATAGCCCATAAGATTTCGTCCAAGGAGGGATTCTGGAAGATTTTTATGGGTTGCTTAGAGCCTAGGCAATCGGATGAGGACTTTGACTGAAACCCTAATTCCTCACCTACATAAAGGATCCCTAGGCTTCATAAATTTGGCTAACACCAACCCTAAGAAGAGTTTCAAGAGCGGAAATTACCTTCCCCTCTCTCTCTAAGATTCTCCAATTTGCTTTGGTGTTTGTGATCTATTAGAGGCACAACATTTGAGGTTCTAGGTTTCTCAAAAGCTCAATATCTTCTAGCTACAATCAAAGGTAACTTTCTAACTTGTTTATTAGATGTTAATTTCGATTTTATAGTATGCTAGATTAGGGTTTGCAAGTCGTAGACAATTGTTGCATGTACAAATAGAAAAACTAGATCCAAGCATTAGGGTTTGCATGAACACCATAGGAATGTTGTTTTGCTCATAACCCAACACTTTCAACATTGATGCATTTAACTGGAGTGATATGGATAACATGTCTATTTACCCAGCTTGGACAGACTGTGATAAGATATAATTGTGTTTCGATTACATTACCTAAGTAATAGTAATTTATAATATAAAGTTATTTGATGATTAATTATTTCTAACCTTTTGTGTAGCTTTATATACCAATCAATATACCAGTTGTTCATTGGTTTTTGGGTGCGTTGGATTTGAAGACATTCAAAATGACTATATACGATAGTCATTGGAAGAGTGGCCACTTTTTAGAAAACGAGGATTGGTTGATAGGTATGAGAGCCCACATCCACATACTACTAGTGGGTATCAACTACTGGGGTACCAAACCAACCTATGCAATCCCACTTGAGAGTTTCAACATAACCCTCGAAAAGTCCCCAGACATACGACAACAAATTGATAATAGAGGAGATTGTGGGATGTTTTTGTGTTGGTTCCTGCAGATGTTGATCGCTGGGAAATCATATTTTATTGAGGGTAAAAGCGGTCAGTGGGGTATGTCATCTCGTAAACGACTGATGGAAATTTTTTGGGGTATAAGGACAAAGACCATTTGAACATTGTAATATTACTTTAAACAATTCCCTTAAGTTTATGTATTTATTAGTTTTTCGTTGATTTTTATGATTACATTTGCATTTTAGATTTTATAATAACAAAACTTAGTCAAAAAGAACAAATCACATTTTACACATAAAAAAAATCTTTTCGGAACGATTGTTCGGAATCCTACTCCGGTGTTCCGGAGATCACTTCGGAATGTTATATTCCGGAGAAAGTGGTTATTTTAAAAAGAATGGTTATTTTTTTTTTCAAATAGTTCATTTATAAGGATTAGTTTACTCGATTTCGCTTGATTTTATTTGATGAAATTGCATATCTGGTCCATGTAGCTTAGAAAATAAAAAATAATCGAAAATAAAAAATAAGGGGTATAAGGGTCATTTTATTCTGACTTAACATATGTTTTCTAATGGAGTTAGTCGAATAACCAACGTTGCAACCTTTTGACACCATAGGGACGTAACATGTAAACTTTTTAAAAGTTGTATTAAACGTATAAAATTGACCAAACAACATCGACCATTTCTTAATTTATTCTAACAATTATAGTGGGAGACTTAGGAGAAGACTTTTACCCGATAAATATTCTCTTCAACATTCTACTTTCAAACACCAGCCAAACAAAATGAGAACAGCCCTCCTATTCGCCGGAGTATTTCTTGCCGGCATCCTCCTCCCGGAGCTGGCTGCATCCCAGAAGTGCAATTGTCGTCCGCACCAGTGTTGTAGTAAGTATGGGCTTTTGTGGAACCACAAAAGCTTATTGTGGAAAAGACTGTCGAGGTGGCGCATGTTCTTTACCAGCCCCTCCAAATAATGTCTATGTCCCTGGGATAGTAACGAACGCATTCTTTAATGGGATTGTTGCTAAGTCGGCACGAAATTGCCTTGGAAGAAGATTTTACACACGAGATGCCTTTCTTACTGTCATAAAAAACTATCCACGTTTTGGTAGATCCGGTTCAATCATGGATTCCAAGCGTGAAATTGCGGCTTTCTTTGCTCATGTTACATATTTGACTAAACGTAAGTCTATTGAGAATATTTAGGTTAAATGAATAAGAAATATCGTTAATTCTGAATGTCTACATATGCTGGTTTGCAGATTTTTGTTATATAGAAGAAATAAATGGTCGTTCGAAAAGCTATTGTGATACAGTCGACTCACAATATCCATGCAACCCTAAGAAACGTTACTATGGTAGAGGTCCAATGCAACTTGCATGGAACTACAACTATGGTGCAGCCGGAAAGAGCCTTGGGTTCGATGGGATCAATAACCCAGAGATCGTGGCTACAAACCGAGTGGTTTCATTCAAAACTGCCTTGTGGTTTTGGATGGAAAATGTTCATTGGGACTTTGCTTCTGGTAAGGGGTTTGGAGCAACGATCCAGGCCATCAATGGGAATGAATGCAAAGGTAAAAACCGAGCTGCTGTGAGATCTCGTGTCACGTACTACGTAAATTATTGTAAGCAATTTGGTGTTGCAACAGGAAGAAATCTTTGGTGTTAGATTTTGTTTCGGTCCATATCATGTGGAATCCAACGTATTACTAGCTTAGTGGGCATAATAAGTAGTGTGTTTGAAAAGAAGTGGTCTCGTGGTGACAATGTCTTGGTCGATATATGACCGAATGAAGGTTGGTGTCATAATAAAGAACGATTATAATATAAGTATTGGTGGCAATTTATAGCCTTTTAGTCATTTAATTATAAAAAAATTGTTATTATCTAATAAATTGATTACAAAATTCGGTAAAAATGAACGCAAAAATGTAGAGATCGACCCGATCCATCAAAATTAATTTTGAAGTGTATCAGATAATTATTTGATAGACGCAGGTGGATACATGTGCAATATCACAAAAACCCACTTTCCAACACTAAAATTACAAAATCTCTTATATCCACCACTAACCACTAAAATGTGGGTGTCATATCATAACTACTAACTACCATTAAGAGGGTGTTTGGAGAAATTAACTTATAGGTTATTAATTTATAGCTTATTAGGTTATGGCGGTGTGAGAAAACAACTTTTACAAAAATGTTTTGATTAAAGATAAGCTATAAGTTATAAGGAGGGGATGCTTTTTAAAAGTAGCTTATTTAGCTTATCCCCACCACAATAAGCTGATTTTTAATATTTTCTTTCAAAACACTTAAACTTAGCTTATAGCGGTGATGATAAGCAATAAAATATAATCCAAACACCCTCTAAACTACCAACCACTACCCACTAAAGTGGTGAGTGTCATATCTAATACCAGTAACTACCACTAAACTTATGGGATACTCACTGTGACCACACAATTCCATCTATTTTTTTAATTAAATTTAACTCAAAAATTTATACAAAATCCAAATACAATAAAAACATATTTTTTTAAACAAGTTTTTTATTCAATTAAAAAACAACATAATTTAAAAACAACATTATATAATTTAAAAAAAACAACTAAAATAAAATAGAAAAAAAAAACATTAAAATGCAAGCACACAAACAACTTAAACTAGTTTCTAAACCCCATTTTTTAATTTTTCCACCACAGGTTCTCCTTAAATTTCTGCTAAGCTTTGAGGTGTTTAAACAGTCTGTGCTTTATTTTTTCATATTGATGCCTGGTCACAGCAACCGGATTGTCTTCGTGTGCGTTGTTTATAACATGATTATAGAGTCCGTCAAACTCGCGACATATTGCCATCATAAAGCGAAACTTACAACATATTGCGTCAAGATTACGATTGCGATAACCTATTAAATCATGGAAAACGTTTACAACCTTTGCCAAAAAAATCCATGAGTTCAACTATCTGGGTCTTACGTAACCGTCACCTATGCCAGTGCTAACTTCTCTTCTTCTTCTTCCGACCAACTCTGCATTTTGGGAGTCATGGTTTTTGAAGGTAAATAAAGGTATAAAGAAAATGTGTGAAAGAGAATAGTTTGAGTGTATTGTTTTTTTAATTGATGTGTTTATATATAGGTAATGTTTTTAGATTAAAAAAAAGTTTTAAACATTTTACCGTTGAACGGTCAAGAAAGGAAAACGATACATGATTGGGCGTTTGAGTTCGTCGTAGGCAACACGAGACAACACGATCACGCCTGACCACGAATACTCGGGAGGGTGTGCACGAATTTCTTTCGTGGCAACGTAGACCACGAATGGCTTCGTGATCGGGATACGTAATGGCCTTAGCAAACGGAAAAAAAAATCCCTTGCCGATTAGGAACAAATATTGGTTTATAAACAGTTACAGATTTTTATACATTATGACGGTTGATTGAACATATAGTTACCAAATATGTTTGTTGGTATCCGTCACATTGTTTTTCTCTTAAAAGAAAGCGAGGGATTAAAATAGATAAATACTAATCTAACCAAAAAGTGAATGATTTTTCACTTAATAGCCAAGAATTAGTCATCAGTCAAAAATAGTCAACCATACGGTTTGGTGAGTGACCTAGGGATTCGCATGTTTTATATATATATATTAGATTATATATATATATAGATATATATATATATATATATATATAATATATATATATTAAGCGTATTAATGTAACTATAAATCAAACCAAACTAGTAACTTGATAAGAACTTTAATTGAAAGAAAGAATATTTAGAGAGAATATGAAATTATATCTCTTTTATAACTTTTTGGTGTATCACATTCTTTACATGGAGGGGTATTTATACTATAAATTTTACTAACCATATAATTGTAACTAGTTAGAAATGTTTGGCAAATGTACCATGCCCAATTATTATGTCATCCACCAATTATTTACAACACCACCAATTATTTAATACCACTCCCCATTGGATGACATCATTTTAGCGTTCACTTGTGTCGTACTGCCTCATTAAACCTTGCTAAAGAAAACCCAGTGGAAAAAAACTTTATCGAGGGAAAAGAGTGCAGTGTATAGTTGACTCCCTCTATTTAGACATCCGTCACATTATATTCTATGCACATGTCGCATTCCGATGCCATGGACATGTTTCCTAAAGATTGCAGTAGGAAGTGCCTTCGTAAAAAGGTCTGCTGCATTGTTACTGGATTGAACATATTTGATTTCAACTTGATGGTTCTTTATAAGCTCTTGAGTGTACTCAAAAAAATTTGGAGGTATATGTTTGTCCGTCGCTCTTGATATATCCCTCTTTCATTTGAGTGACACATGCTGATTTATCTTCATAAATTAAAGTGGGACATATATCCCTTTTCAAGTCCACATGAAGTTAAAACTAGATGTGTCGTTGATCTCAACCATGTATATTCTCTACTAGCTTCATTTAGTGCAATTACTTCAGCATGATTTGAGGATGTGGCAACAAGTGTTTGCTTTTGAGAACGCCAGGAAATTGCGGTACCTCCATTCATGAATATGTATCCAGTTTGAGATCTAGCTTTATGAGGATCAGACAAATAACCTGCATCTGCATAACCAATTAAGCTTTCTTTTGAATTGTTAGGATAAAATAACCCTAAATCACTAGTTCCTCGAAGGTATCGAAAAATATGTTTGATTCCATTCCAATGTCTTTTTGTTGGGGCTGAACTAAATCTTGCTAGCAAGTTTACAGCGAAAGAAATGTCGGTCTAGAACAATGGGTAATACATAAGAGCTCCAATTGCATTAAGGTATGGTACTTCTGGACCAAGGACTTCTTCATTTTCTTCGCATGGACGAAATGGATCCTTGTCAATATTTAATGATCTAACAACCATTGGAGTGCTTAAAGGATTAGCATTGTCCATATTGAAACGTCTTAAGACTCTTTCTGTGTAATTTGATTGATGTACGAGTATTCCGTTAAGCATATGCTCAATCTGTAAACCAAGACAATATTTGGTTTTTCCAAGATCTTTCATTTCAAACTCTTTCTTTAAAAGTTCAATCACTTCAAGGATTTCTTTATTCGTTCCAATGATGTTTAGATCATCAACATAGACTGCTATGATCACATATCCAGATGTTGTTTTCTTAATAAATACACATGGACAAATAGTGTTATTTTTATAACCTTTACTTGTCAAATAATCGCTCAAACGATTGTACCACATGCGTCCAGATTGTTTTAACCCATACAAAGATCTTTGTAATTTTATAGAGTACATTTCTTTGGGTTTTGCACTTAATGCTTCAGGCATTTTAAATCCTTCAGGGATTTCATATAGATATCACTATCAAGTGATCCATACAAGTAAGCTGTAACAACATCCATAAGACGCATCTCTAAATTTTTAGATACTGCCACTAATTAAAATATCTGAAAGTGGTTGCATCCATTACGGTGAATAAGTTTCTTCATAATCAATTCCAGGTCTTGAGAGAGAACCCTTGAGCAACAAGCCTGGCCTTGTATCTTACAATTTCGTCTTTCTCTTTCTTTTCGTACGAAGATCCATCTATATCCTAATGGTTTCACAACTTCAGGTGTGAGGAGAATGTTTCCCAAAACCTTCTCTTGTTAAGAGAATTTAATTCAACTTGCATAGCTTCCTTCCATTTAACCCAATCATTTCTTTTTTGACATTCAATGACAGATTGTGGTTCGGGATCATCATTCATAATATCACATGCAACTGAATAAGAAAATATTGCACCTATATTGTCAGTTTCATTTTGGTTACATATTCTATTTGTCTGACCATAATTTAATGCATCATCCTCCATTCCTCGGGGAATTTGAATAATTCGTGTTTCTCCAGGAACACTTTCATCGTGATCTAGTGTATTTTCTGCTCCTCTTCTTTTTTGTGGGTTCTTATCCTTAGAACCAAATGGCCTTCCACGCTTCAGGCGTGTTTTAGCTCTTGAGTGACTTTATCATCAATTGTCCATGTGGAATGTCAATTCGAGCTGGAAACATTGACACCTGGTATATATGATTTAGTCACCCTTTTTCTGTCAGTAAATGCATCAGGTAATTGATTTGCCATTTCTTGGAAATGCATTATCTTTTGAACTTCCATGTCACATTGCTTTGTTTGAGGGTCAAGATATGATAAAGTAGGCTCATGCCATGACACATCCTTTTCCAGAATCTTCTTTTCTCCACCTAATGATGGGAAATTTGGCTCATCAGATTGACAATATGCTAGGCGTGCTGTGAAAACATCACCTGTTAATGGTTCAAGATATCTTATAATAGAGACTGACTCTAACAACTATATTCCCAACCTTCTTTGAGGACCCATTTTGTCCGTTGAGGTGGTGCAATAGGGACATATACTGCACACCCAAAAATTCTCAAATGGGATATGTTTGGCTCTTGACCGAAAGCAAGTTGTAGTGGAGAATATACTGTTGGATTAATGTCTAAGTCCATAACTATAATTGGTAAGACTTGACCCGACCCGACATGGTCCATTTGGGTTGCATGGCATCATGCATTTGGATAGACTATAATGAGAGAAATAACACTTAAGGTTGGTTACTATATTATAAGTTCTAATATATTAATAAGGTTATTTAATTAGTATTGATCAAGAATT